TTAAAGGAGAAATAGCTTAAAATTTTTCAGGGGAATAATTACAATGAAAAATTACGTTACAATATTATAATAATAATACATAATAAATTAAAAAAACAATAATAATAATAGTAGGTAGGTAATAATATTATAATAACTTATAAATTATAAAAGCTTATAAATTTGACAGCTACAAACACTTAAGTGACCGACACGCGTATGTCTATGTCTGTGAAACAGACTACAATACACTACATTACTCCAATATAGATACATTTTGGGAAAATGTTTACTTGGAATTTGGATATAAAACATTTCAACTCGAAACTAATCAATTGTAACAACCATAGATAAAATATCGTTTATACACATGCATTTTTTTTTTTAATTAGGAAGTCCAAAAAAAGTTTAAGGGCGTTCTTACGGACGTCCGGTTAAAGTTAACCGACACTTAACCGGAGAATTCTGCGGTAATAAAATCGTATCAGTCGGTTAGCGTTAACCGACACTTTACCGGACGATGTAAGAACGGCCCTAAGTCGTTTTAGTGCATAATAAATAAACATGTGGTTTCAAGGCAGGCAATTCGGAAGACCCCTCTAAGAGATGACATGCAATTCGGACATTTTTTTTTTTTGGCATGCAATTCGGATGTAGCCGGATCAGTCTACGAGGAGAGAGAGTTTTTCCTGTAAGGCATGTTTTTGAGCAAAACACAGGTCAAGTGCAAGCCCCTTAATGTTCGATCAATATTATATTTCTATTATAATTTATTGTATACCCACAACGATGGTTAATTATTTATTACATTACTTCAAAGTTGAATTGCATTAGCGTTTTACAAGGGGCTTGATATAGGCAACTTATAATACTTTCCGGACAATACGGTTTTTACCTTTCTGATTCCGGCGATATACGGTCCGGACTTACTATACTTTCAGGATTATTATAGCTCCCCATAATACCTATGGTCAAAATAAATAGTATTTGCTAGAACAGTTGTTTGAATAAAAAAAAAATAATAATAATAAAAAATTAACGAACCACAAAAAAAAATAAAAAATATTTTTAGTGCTGTAAAATACCTATGCAAATATAAAAAAAATCCAACGTCACGTAATGTTTCCAAGCCGCGAGCGGTCACCCATCCCAGTACTAACTACACCAAACTTCAGAGATCGGACGAGAGCTGGTGAATACTGTGGTATGGTCATGGCGAATATGGTTATTATCCTAGTGCATTTTATAGGTAGGTACCTATGTGGCGAGCTGACTAGGTTATAATTGCATGGTCAATTGGTATTCAAATAACTTTTCATATATTAAATACGAATTGTAAAAACTGTCTATCAACAAGTATTTTGAGTGCGAGGATCGGATACCCACCGTTTTTAAGGAGTTCAATACAGTCAATTTTCTATGTGTTTTCGTACAGCTCGTGTAAATGTGTGCGTAGCAAGTGATCGTTAAAGCGTGAGTGACTATTTAATATAAAATAATTAGTAGACCGCACGTGCTTGTCAATAACGCAGCACTTTACACATTAATTACAAATATGAGTTTTAGTGAAACACTGAAACATAGTTTTGTATTTCCAATAATAATATAGCTTACTGAATACTGAGTGACATTATAGTATGAACGTTGAACACTTATTAAACAAATCGAAGAGAAGTTTATCTAGGCCTGCAGGTATATGAGTCTATTTTCATTATTTTATTTTTTAATGTCCGATATTTAGGTCCAAGACTTGGGATATTTTACTTCGAATTTGAATTATTGATTTTAATAAATAAAATATCGACAATTGACTTTTAAACAGGCACAGATTAACTTTTCTTCTGCAATATTGATATTTGATAATAGGTGTTTTTACTCAATAAACTATATTATTGCAAATATAATATTTAATTTTCATAGTATTTCTCCATACTATTGATAGTATCATAAGCACATCTTAAATATTTGTTTACCGTATTGAATATTGGAGTCTGGACTCTGAAATTTTGCTTGTTGCCACCGGCCTCTTTCCTCTTATATACAATAAATAAATGGAATCACTACCTAGTAGGTACCGCAGTTTTATTTTTGTTTATGGAAATGTGCAATTTATTATATGTATATAGGTAGTTGAATTATTTACGGGTGTCAGTCAATAGGCTCAAAATACTTTTAGTTAGGTACCCATACCTATATTTTAATAGGTGACATTTATTTTATCAAAATCTCTTACCTGCTGAGGTCTCATATTTTAGTAATATAATCAAATGAATAATTTTGATGTTTAATAATATCAATAATATCTTCGGCAACAATACTTATGGTTATCAGTTATCACAATTAGCTGATTTCTGATCATGTTGTATTGATTAAGATAGATATTTGGTGTTTTGACTTCGGTATTGGTTACTTTTTTTTATTAATTTCCAAGTTGATTTTGGGTTAGATGTAGTGCTACTAAGAAAATAATTTTTATAAAAATGCATGTAAAATGTTTGGACAATATTATTACTTATTGTATTTGGTGTAAAAGAACATCAAATGCAGCAAATAGACTCTAAATATACCCTATTAAATTGATCAATCTATAACATACTCAAAAGTTTTTGGCTCCATACAAATTATTAGGTAGACATTAAGGGGATTCGATATCAACCGTTTTTAAGTACCTAGTTCAATTTAGGAAATTTTCTGAGTACATGCGGATGCCGGATAGTGTAAATGTATGCATAGTAAGTGACCATTAATGCGAATAACTGTGTTCAAAATAAATAGTGGAGTAGTCCTGCATGTCAATAAGGTATTACACAGATATTAATTATTTTGTTTTTTTTTTTTTTTGGTCAAAAGTATTAATAAGTTAATATTAAGCTAGACAAAACTGAACAAATTTGAACTGTTGGATTTTAAGTCTGAAAAAATTTATTTTCAGGATATTCCCCTCAAAAATAAATATAAACTGGAGTCAATACTAAATTTTTAACAAAGTTATTAACATAAAAGTATCGTTATTAGTTACTTCTTGTGGAATTGTTAAGCAATTTGTCCAACGAAATTGTCCAACAAAAAACAGTTTCAGAGCATTTTTCAGAAATGAAATCCAACCACCCAAAGCCCCACACTGTTGTCGGGCTCTTTGGTTTCAATCACTATATTTTTACATCGGTATTCAATCCCCTAAATAAATCAACTCAAAAAACATTTATTAACAACAATCTTCAGATTGTATAATGGAGTACTTATTAAAATAAGTAAATTATACTGGAGTTTAGTTAATGAGTATTTCTATTGGTATAAAATTATAAACATCTTGCAATAAGAACTCCGGCTATGTAAAACATATATCCATAAGGGATAGAATATCCAGGGGTAGATTTATTTTATCGAAACCCTTAGCTGGATAACTAATATTGTAATTAGATCTTGCATAATACCTTAAGGTTATACCAATATAAGTATATATTGTATACAAACATACAATGTGTCAGTTTCCTATCATATATTAATCCAATTATTATAACATCAGTAGTTAATAGTAACTGTAACTACCATTACAGTTTATGAGTTTATGTCAGTTTATATGCATAGGTAAGTTTCTAACGCTAATATTGTACTTAATCTTGTCTAGTAAATTGATCAAATTCACAATATGTAAGTATCGAAGCCCAATTTATTAGTTTAACAGTTACTAGTACAATGATAATAATTTATTAAATTATAATAAAGATGTATAAAAATTAAATAACAATAACTGAAATAGAGATAAAAATCTAATTTACATTATAAGTACTATACATAATATTATATACATACTTAGTTACAAAATATGATAAAATAATGTACTTTATAGTAAATGGTACTTTAGGTAACTGTAGTAGGATAAGTTCAAAAATTATTTTATCGATAGTAGGTTATCAACAGTTAGTGTAATTTATAATTAAATATAATGAAGTCAAGTACTACTGATATGAGATAGATTATAAAATCCCATCAAATGTATAATATTCCTGTATACATAATATTGCTCTATTATGTAACTAATGATTTATTAATTTTTGCATACAAATTATGGTTAATACTCGATTACAATTATTATGACGTAGGTTGTAACTTGTAGATACACATAATTCAACTGTCTCAAATGGCACTGAAATCTATTGACTGCAGTGTTTGCACTAAATTTGGTGATAGATACTTTTGTATGAATAAATAACATATAATACGTAAATTAAAAACAATTGTTACAGACCACTGATTTTTAATCAATTTTAACAATTTTGTTCATTACTTTTCACATTAAAAATAACAATTACAAATTAAATATGAAAACTAATGGAAAAAAATAAAATATTTCATAACATCCAACATCAAGTATAAATTGTTAAAAATAACACTGGTTATAACAAGACAGAACTATAATACATATTGTTGCCTATATTATGGTAAAGGTAAATACATTTGAAAAAAAATACATTTTTTTTTAACACGTCGACGGACATGACTAATGACATGCAAATTACTGTAATTTGGTAGTCACTCTGATTGGGCATAATATATAGGTTTTAATATATATGATTTTTTTTTTTTTTTTGCCCGAATTGTTAGTAAGTCACAATAGGACACTAGATAATTTCCAATGTAGTGAAGTCATAAGAAACGCAACAGCTCTAGCAGTCATACCATTGTACGACTTTTAATATATAACCTCTATACCAGTCATGGTTATATTACGACATTAAATCAGTATGAGTGCTATAGCAGTTACTGTCCGTCAACATGTTAATATTTAGTTCAATGATATCACAACTGATTTCCACTCTTATTATTAATATTTTTTTATATTTCTTCACTAATTAATAAATAATAATTAACTATGTGTATATAATTTATTTTCTGGATATTCCTCTTAAAAATAAATATAAACAGGAGTCAATACTAATATTTTAACAAAGTTATTCACATAAAAGTACTGTTATTAGTAACTTATTTTGGAATCGTTAAACAACATCTTTAATTTTCAGTTAAAGTTTTTGGGCTTTTATACAAGGTTTACCATATCTCTTACCAGCTTCAGAAAAAAAAGCCTGTTCCATTTGCTTAACTAATTCGTTAAAAAATCTATTGGCAACCGCTGAATGTAAAGGTGATTTAAATTCATAAGACACAAAAAAAGTAATAATAGTAGTATTTGGATTCTCTTTTAAGCCAGGATCACAATTCCATTGAGTTATTAAAAATTTAAACAATGTTCCATCACGGCATTCTGCTTTAATCATATGAGGACGTTGAAATGTTATATGCGATACATAACTTTCTATTATAGGAGGAATACCGATTTCTAAATAAGTTTTTCGATGATTCTTTCCTTTAACTAGGTCTACGGATTTTCGACAAAATGGTAAAAAATGTTTGTAATTTTCTGTATCTTGTATCACGTCAAACATTTGCTCAGGAGAATACCTACAAATTATATGTTTGTTCATTAAAAAAGATAAGTATTGTAAATATTTCTAAATTATGTAAAATTTACCCAATCAATTGTTTCACTCTATACAATTTTTGGTTATTTTCTCCAGTATTAAATATATTTATAAATGTCCGTATATGTATGGAACACAGACATTTGGGTGTTATTGCTATTTTTGTAAGACAACTAGTTGAATAGAAAATGTCTTTGCCATTCATAAAACTGATGAGTTTCCATTCCCTATAAACAAACAAAAATGCAAAAAATTAATAGAGAAATATCAAATTAAATATTACTCAAAGCAACACAACAAAATATAATAAACTTTGTACAATATTAAATGTAACAAAATAAAAGATAAATAATGTATGAAAATATATATGTATATATTTAGAAAACTTGACCAATTATTATATTATTATTATTTATAAAATAGTTTGAATTAATATTGTGAATATATATCTCAATCATTTTATTCATATAAATAATAAATTGTCCTTGTATTTTACACAACCAAAGAAGTCAATTCAATTTTAGGATTGATATTACCTATTAAAAGGTGTTATACACTATAATTGTCTTTCTCTGGAAGCAAAATTATATTTTAAAAATGTATCTGCTATTTTAAATTATAAACATTAAGATTTATTGTACTCATAGTAGACTACTATTTACTAACTACATCCTATTGGGAAAACAGATTAACACTGGGAGTGCTGTCGACGCCTATCGTACTGATGGTTGGGCGGGTTCCCCTCTACGTGGAGTCGGGAGATTGTATGTATTTTCCCGGCATTTCAAATACATTTTGCTTTTAGTGAAGTGAATTTGAACGTATTTGATAATATTAGTAGAAATTATATTTACTAACGTATACAGTTAGCTATAAAAGCGTATAAAGTTTTGATAGCAAAATTAATTTATTATAAAAAGTAAAATAACCAATATAAAACTATATCTATACATCCCGAATTGGAAGGTACAAATTGTTTCCACCAGAGCGCGTTTTGTTAATCTGCTTCCCCAATATACCAACATTAAATTTATTTGCTTATATTAAAAATATTTACAAAATAACACATTATCAAAGTTAAATGATTAAAAATTAAAATGAATTTTACTGAAAAACATTTTTTGCAATGAGACTATTATTTTGATTTTCTAAAGGAAAAACCATGTCACAATGTACCTATTTTTTTGAAAAAAATTAATTTACACACTCCTGTTTGGAAAAATCAGTATTTAAAAAAAAAATATAGCTATGCTTAACCTTTCATTGTGAAAATGTATGCTTAGGTATTATACAGGATTTTTGCTTACAACAAAAAGTACATTACAAAAATTTTTTTTTTCTATTTGTCACCTACAACTTGTTGCCTTAAACTATAATAATTAATAACATATAATAAGTGCAGTGTCGTATAAGGCAAATACCAGTCCACCGAGTTTTAGAACTTTTACCAGGCTGAAACCCGTTAAATTATGTTAGAACAAGCAAGTTGAATACAAAATCTACCAAAATATAGCCAAGCCCACAGAGTTGGACTCAGTAACTCGATGATTCTATCTGGGCTTGAATATGTACCTACATATCATATAATATTATAATCCTTTATTTATTATGTTAAAATTACTATTAGAAAAAGTGTATCTTTAAATTGTTTATTGATATAATAAATGATAAAATTAGTAAAGGTTGATTTACCTATATATTCAAAATTTTCTAAGCTTTTATAAATAAATATACCTAAAATAATTAATTAATCTACTAGGTACTAAATACTAAATTATACATGACCCCAACTGTTTTACAATATAATTATTAATATTTATATATATAAAATATATAAAATGCTAATAATCAAAGGATAAATTAATTTTTTTTTCAAATACCTACTACCTATGCGTCAGTAAAAATACAGCTTTCATAATATACCTAAGTTATTTTATTTTGTATTTTAGAATATATATATAAACATATTATTATTATAGAAGAATTTAAATAAAAGAATTAATGTGTGTACCAATTACTTAATAGTTTTTTTTTTTTTATTAAACTATTGTATAAAAACAATTGTGAAATTTAACTAAACTACAATTTTTTATAGCACATGACCTCGAATTGTGTGTTGCTAAAATTGAGTAGGCGGAAAAAAAACCTAATTTTAACTTATAACTAATGATTAAAAAAAAAAATAAAAAATATATATCTATCAAGGACAAAATATTTTTATATTAACACTTCATTTGTTGCCTTTTTTATTGCATGAATATTGTTTAAATATTGAAATACAAAATATATTATATATATATTTTAAATTATATTAAAAATATAAGAAGTTATTCTATTTTACAATGATAAAAAAAATGTTTACCTGTTTTTTGAACACACGTTTGTATTAGCTAATCGCCCAAAATTCATAAACGTTGCTCTGGACATGGCTTCAAACTAACGAAAATTTATCAACTACAAGGAACCTTTGGCATAATGTTACGTAATTAATAAACAACGATGAGTAATAAACAATTTATATTATTTTTAATTTTACTAAGTACTATCAACGACTGTGGTTTGTGTTTTTAAGTCAGCGATTGTAGAATAAAAGTTTTGGGACTAAAACAATTTTGCGATATCTTATCAACAGCCATAATGATATTATCATGGTAGGTGATGGTATTGTTCTATGTTGATACTAACAATTATAGTGATGTGTACGGAATACGTCAATGCGTCCAATAGTATTTTGTTCCAACAATCAGATTTAAATACCTAGGTACGTAATATTAAATCATATACATTTTTAAAGTGCACAACTTCTGAATAAAGCATTTTGATTAATACTTTTATGTTAAACGTGACTACGGGTGAAGGCAGGTAATTTTAAGAATTAGGATGGTCATAATTATAATTAAATAAGTAACTTTTGTTATTATTATAATTTTTAAATCCGCAAGCTTACCTACAGACTAACTTCGAAAATATCAAAAAAAAAAAAAACGATAAATGATAAAAACTTATAACCGAAGTTATATTATATTATGCAATAGGTACCTATTTCAGTAATAGTTTTCATAAATCGGAATCTAATTTGTGTAATATAGCTAACCTATATAGGTAGGTCGTAGGTACTAACTACAAATTATTATTATCATTATTATTTTGGATTTTGAATAGGATTATTGTAGTTTACCTAAATACTTATTAGTTTTATGATGATAGGTAAATTTAATTTTAAGCCTTTTTGTGGCTAAGAAATATTATCCCTAAGTTTGAAACTTTAAATGTTATAAAATGCAGTAGGTATACCTACTCTTGTATTACCTACCTCCTATACAATATTGCAAACCTATTATTATTAAGTACCTATTAGGTATATTAAAATATATTAAAGTCTAATTTTGATGATATTGGATATTTAAACGAAAAAAAAAGATTTTACAGTTATAATTCTGTAATTATCAAAAAATATTAATCGTATCTAATGATTTAAAATTACTCACCGTTACCTACGTGTATTATTTGCTATGCACAAAGTAATTTTAAAAATGTTTAGGTTAACTTTCAAGCTACCTATTTAAAACACGAACTTTTTCACATCTTTCTATTTTCTATAATGAATACGTGGACACGTGGTACCTAATGAAATACAAAAATTAACAATATAATTTTGGTCAAACACCTGTGGTGCGTATGTAGGTACCTAAAATAGGTGTTCTTATATTTCCGGATTTTCTATTTTACCTCCTTGAACCGTTCCTCTTTCCCCTCAAAGTAGGTAGAAGAAGCTATCAACTGATCCAATACTGAATATTCTACAATGAAGTACCTACCAACGATGTTGAAGATTAAAGCATTTTTCACACACACACAACATAATTAATTTAAAAATATTTGGTAATCGCTCGCTGCTGTACAATAGGTATAGGTGTCAAATGTATCTCGTCATTGAGTAAGTCATTGTAATGTAAGTGTTAAATGTATGTAGATATTAAATATTAATTCAATGATAAATCACCACATACGAAAAACGATTCTGAACGAAGATGGTCGTCACTCTGTCGCCTATGCACTCAATACTCATTACTATAATAGTGTGATATATTTATATTGCTTTATTAAAGTAATTTATTTGACTATTAGCTGCAGCTGGGTTGGGGACTTAAACCACTAAAAATCAACAAAATAAGTGCTTTAGATAATACTGAAAAACTTTATTATATAATAACTGTTCTTTAAAACATTAAAATAAGCTAAATAAATCAATTTTAGAAATTTATTTATTTTTATTTATTTATTTATTTATTTACTGAATAAATACATTTACAATATTAATATATAGTGTACAGTATAACAAAACATATGATGAATATTTAGTTTAGTGATTACATATTATTTAAACCTAGATATAGTATAAGTATAGTTTACAATAATATATTAAATATAATTACATTTAGACTGAATTAACAGTGAACAATTAAAAACATTGAAACAAAACAAAAAATACATTTTAAATAATCAAACATTAAATGCTGATTTAATACTATTTATATTACAAAAAAACAAATCTAAGTTAACTGAATTTGCAATAGACATCAGTGAATTTATTGGGGAGGAAAAAGAATAATTGGTTCGTATATTTTTCAAAGTGAATATAAATCGTTATTTCTAGTTAAATTAATGTTTGCTTTAAAATGTAGTCTTTCTAGTATTTCTTGGCATTCAATTTTATTATTTAATAAATTAAAAAGAAAAATATAAGCTAGATATTTTCCACGATTTCTCAAAGTAGGTGTGTTGAAAAAACCAGATACTCCTTAATAACCTGAATGTGAAAGGCGTTCTACATTACATTTGAAGGATAAAAAGCGTAAAAAAGAATTTTGAACGGAATCAATAAGAGTTTGATTTAGAATTAAGGAATTAGGAGACCAAATAAAAGCAGCATATTCTAGTTGAGAACGTACAATAGAAAAATAAATGTTTTTTAATGAGATATGATTGTTAAAATTTGAACATTGTCGTTTTAAGAACTTGTCCAAGTAGGTACACAGGAATATTTTTTATAAAATTACGAGTTACAACAATCTAAATATGTTCTTCCTCAAAATCAAGCCCTCAAGGAAAACTTACTTACCCGAATTCAGATGATATGGTTTTTTAAAACTGTATATTAGTGGATAACAATAATTTATAATTGCTCATTATAAATGTATGAACTAAACTAATACACTGACAAACAACGTCAAAACTGCAATACCCGATGAACAGCACGACCGAGAATTTTCAAATCATAGGTACGTTATAGCAAACACTTAGGTCTATACTATAGATTTAATCTATATAGTATTTGTTTATAGTGTGTTGATTGCTCTAAACCTTCGGTATACCGGAAATTAGTAATAGTTTATTTTTCCTGCCGAACTATTATCGTTGGGAATTTGGAATATATTTTGTACCTATTTTGTATTCGAAACAAGCCACCCAAGACTCAACGGATAGGTATAGTAAAAATAAACAAAGTTAAGTTAATGAGTATATAAATATAATTAGTAACTAAAAATATCAGAACATTAATGAAACAATTATAAAAAATCAGTTTTTTTTTTGTCAGGGGCTAACCCATCTTCATCTCAAAGTAGAAATTATTTTTAAAAAATCAAAAACTATAAAAAAAACATGAAAATCGCATTTGAAAAAATAATTTTATGTTTGAAATAATTGTAGTAATATGATATAGGTTACCTACAACTCTGCCAAAAAAAATCAAATACTTTAATGATTCCGAACCCTAACAATTATTACTTAGTAATACGGTAGATTATTTGCAGAGGCCTATTGGCTAAACATTTCGGCCCGGGAAATTACAGTGTGATAGGCCCACTTAATATAATATTATAATAATTAATAATAATTTTCCATAAAAAACCCTTTTTTATAGGAATTCTCTTATTTATAATTTAGTAAAATATAAATAGGGTTAACATGTGACCATGTGAGTATCTAGGTACCTACGTAACTTTGTTTTACGACCACCCAAATTACCAAATAGATTCATTTTCCTACCAGAAATGAGGCTGAAATAGAAAATCAAATATTTTTAACTGCATTAAAAAGTGATAACAGACACAATTTTTTTGCTCCGCTCAACATATTAAATATTGAAACAAATTTTATAAAAATGATGACGGTTCAAAATAAAATATTTGTATATTAATATAAACAGTTTTGCTAATTTTTATTTAATACAATAATCTTATTTATACATTTTCTTTTTTGTTATTTAAATTTTACTCGTATTCTACATTATTAGCTTAAGCTATCACTTATTTTGTTTTGGAGTTTAAGTAGTACGATGTAGATAAGTATCCAACTATTTAATATTATATAAAATGAAGAATTATTAAGAACTCTTGTCTCCCCACAAGCTCAGGCTTTTGAAGAAAAATGTTTTCTATTATCATATAGGTAGGTATTCATATTATTTTAATTGTATATATTATTTGAAATAACAATAACAAATCTATTTGTATAATCTATCTAAAATATAAATTAACTCATGTATTACTCATGTACCTACTTGGTATTTAGAGCATCCAAAATCGTGATCAATAATAAAACGTATACATCCAGTTTAATATATCAAATATCAAATTATTTGTAATCCAAGTACATTTGCCCTGAGTTTTAATACGAGGATTGGCCCACCGGGAACTTTCTTTGTATCCCGGTGATGGGCCAATCCTGAATCCGCCGCTAGTAGGTTGATTTAATTTTGGCCAAAAAATTTTTACTGTGTAAAATATAAAATATTAGGTTAATAGTTTCAATGGGATCAATAATATTTTTGAATTACAAGAATAAAACTAAAATCGTTATTGTTTGTTTAAAAGACTACCTATAATTTTGTTGAAATTTATTATAATGACAAAACAAGGAAACGATTTGATGAGAATTCGTTCTTTTTTTAAGTTTGACCCACCCAACCAAAGTACCGCAACTTGATCATATTTGGTATCAGAAACAACCCTCAATTTTTAAAATAGAAGAACTTTTATTACTCAAAAAGGTGATGACCAAGTTAAAAAAATATTTGATTACAAAATCAATAGGTACATTCATCTACCTATACGTTCAGAAACTAAAATATTATTCATCTTTTTGCATTATGTGTATGCAGTAGGTACCCATGCGTACTTCCTTATTTCTATTTCGATTAAAGAAAAACTGACACCTGTAGCAAATTATTAATTATTAAAATATCATTATGATTGAATAATACCTACTAATTTTTATATGTGGGTATACCCATGATTATTTTTCGAGCAGTGTAAGAGATTTTAATTATTATAATATGGTTGTGGATTTGGCTCCATGCGCGGTGGTTGGATTTGCCATTTTGGGTAGGTAATTTCATTCCACTTTAATACACAATAAATTTAGGATATAACTATATACAAGCATAGACGCATAGTATAACTAGTAGGTAAATACGATTTTTTAGCTAAATTTAGATACTGTTATAGGCAATAAAATATTTCAATTAGGTAGTTACCTCATTATTATAGTATTCATATAATTGATTTATTTGTTTAGTAAGCTCATTAAAGAGGTTGTCTCTGTCAGTTTATTTATTTACATGACCTAGTTTCTAGAGGTAAACGAAACTACCCTATGATGGACTTATTTTTTTCAACAAACATTCGTGTGTGGTATACCTACACGAAACCAACGTTGCGTGATCGTTGGTAATGTTCGTATGATATATAATATTACCTGATTTTATGGTCAATCACAGTATAAGTTATAACAAAAATTAAAACTATAGAAACTATTGAAATGAAATATGACAAACCGACAGTTACTTAATTTAATATTCGATTATTTTTTCGGTAGTATAAGTGCAGAAAGTAGTTTTGAGTCAGGTTTGTAAAAGTAATACTTTAAATGGCAAGTGGATGTTCAGATACGATGATCTTAACCACAGTATATAATATTATAGTGCAAAACATTCTGATCATTACAATTTGTAATGGTCTCAATATTTACAACATTGAAACAGGTCCAAGGAATAACGACACAGTTGGTAAGTAATAAAACATATTTTTTACGTCATTCAAAATTATATCATAAAATATAATTATTTATTTTTGTAAATTATTGTATTAAACTTAGCTATAATCATTAACCCAAAGTTTACTTCAAGTAAAAATAATGAAATTTGGAATACCATTAATGGGCATATTTACAAACTAAAGCAAGATGTATTTAAACAAGCCGGAGTGTCTGTTGAAGTTTATACAACAACTAATATTAAACTATCGAGAGGTAAAGCAAAGTCAAACTGCAATATATTTGTATTATTTAAAATACAATTGAATCCATTAGAATTATTATCAACTAAGTGTAGTGTCTTATATTTAGTTTAACACGTTTCATAAGTATCATTCAGCGACGCGTTTGACGCCATAATATGGCGTCTAATATACATTTAAAATAAATGGTTTAAAATTCCCTACGCGTGGCTGAATGTTATTTTATTATTATTTAGAGTGGATTATACGTGCCATGTTGTTTAATATGTATACATACGTCGTTATGGGCAGTTTCTTTATTTTTTTTAAATTTATTTTGTTTTTACTTTTATCATACGCACTGGGTGAAAACTTCAAAAAGACATACGCAGTCTACGTGTATAAATAGTTATATCCCAACTCCTCTATACATAAAAAAATTACAAAAGCAACTTCGTTTATCGAACTATAATACGAGTGTCGAGTATACTCTACAGACAATATATATCGGTAGAATACGAATTGTGATAATAATCGGATTTCAATGCACATAATATTTGAAAGCAATTTTCGACGTACCTACCTGTGTAGGTATAATATAATCTTTTTTAGCCAAACCGTGAACAATTCGTGTAAAATTTAATTATAAATTATAATACATAATAATATTATTACATAATCGTACTACACGATAGTGTCGATGTTTATTATACTTAGGAGTTAGGATACTGTATGAGTTTCATTTTTTTTTTTTTATTTAATAAAATTAGTTTGTTACTATAATATACAGATAATGAATACAATTGATTTTTTAACTTTAGATATTGTTTCGATCTTCATTGTATCATACTGTGAAGATATTTGGGATTTATATTATAAAGCTGAATTTGAAGGATTAAATGGATTACTGTATATTTCAATAACAGGTTTGTATATAATTCATAGTTCACATAATTAATTAGGAAAATTCTTAAATGAATATTTATATTATATTAATATTACTTGGTACGTAACGTCATATTATTTTATAAATTATAATCTTGAATATTTAGGCACATATTCTAGTGAGCACTAGTAAAGTAAAGTTTAGTCAATAAATCAGATATAATAGTATCTATATCTTATTTTTTTTTATTAAAATAGAAGAACATGAGTAAAATAATAATATAATAATAAATATCCAATAGTTCCATAAGGTGTCAAATAATTTTCAAAATCTATAAGTTAAGATAAATCATTGCATTATGTCAACATTTTATATTACAAGTATTTAAAAGTTAAAACATATACGACAAACAATGATTCCGAACGGAGTGATTAGTGATTTGTAGTATTTTTTATTGTTATAAGTACCTATATAGATACGTTATTTTAAGTTATTACCTGTAGGCTGTAATGTAGCTTATAAAAATATACATATTTACATATTAAACTTTTTTGTTTAAATACTAAACGATTTCTTATTAGATAATAGATACATAATATTTCAGATGAAAAATAATTTGCTGTAGGTACTTAGTGTGAATTTAAACCAATCAGCATAACTAGATAATATAGATATACATAATAAATATATAATGACTCAATGTACAACCACTCACAATAGTATGACATTATGATTTAATTTGTTTCTTAAATTTATTTTAATTGATGAATTCAATTTTGTTGTCATAAAGTCGTACATGGTTAAAATAACGTGATGCCCGCATTTGTTGTGTTTTCTCCATCTTACAAACTTACATCATAAAAAAGTCGCTCTGCTGTACAGTAGGTTACAAGTGGGTCACTGTAATGGATGGTGATAAATTTTAATTTAATGATATAACATTGTATAAGAAAAACAATTCTGAGCTAAAACGGCCAGTCAGCCTACGATATTACAAAGTATATTTCATGATATTATTGTGAATAAAGTAATTTATATATAACCTATTTACGTGGAACCTTGTTTTAAATTTTCAATCCTTAGCTATAAAAGTTGAACATTTGATAAATGTTTAGCTACAAAATAATTATTACATTTTAAATTTGATGAATTTAATTTTGTCAAAATTCGAACTTTAAAGCTTATAAAAAAAAATGTGCAAAAAAATTGTAAAAATATATCATAGCCTTGTATTAAGTTTTTACACTTTTTTACCCTACGTCCCTACGTATATAACATTTTATTGATATTTATAGGAAAAAAACTAAAAAAATTTAAAACTGAGAATGTCCGTAAACAGCTCAAAAGAGTCAAAATATTTTCAAAATTGTATAGTGTATAGAAAATGCTAATATAAACATTCAGTGAAATTTTCAAGTATTTACAGTCTTTCGTTTTTGAATAACAATAAAATAACAAAATCGCTTTATGAGAAATCGAGTGAATATCCAATATCGTAAAAATATGAAATTCAAACGCTCATAAAAATTTAATTTGACTTTCTTATAGACATTTTTTTTTTGATAAAGGTAGACAACCTTATAAGCAATCTTATATTACATTTTAAAATCTTAGATTTAAAAATAAAATTTTTCATCAATTTCTAACTCGAAATAATTTTCAAATTTTCGTCATTTTTAAGTATTTTGTCAATATTTGAACTTTAAATGCTTATAAAAAAAATTGTGACTATGGATTTTTAATTTTTTTTCATCTGAAATTCAGTCAAAATTTCATGTACTTACACTGTCATTTGTTTAAGAGTTGCACCAAAACCCAAAATCTATTTTCTCAAAAACAGATTTTGAGTAAAAATTCCCGTTTTTTCTTAATTTTTCTTTTGTTTTTCACGGCTCTTTTGAAAACTACTGAAAAATTTTTACTTTTGAGCCCCCAAAGTACTAACTAGATTCACTTTCCTATCAGAAAAGACACTGTTGAAGAAAATCCAAGCACTGTTACTGTCCTAAAAGGTGATGACAGACACAAAAAAAATAAAAGAATACACATCATTAGGGCACGGATGATGTTGCATTTGCAACTTTTTTTCTACTTTTTCAATTAATTGCTAAGTAAGTTTTAAATACGTTTCATGTAAGTACGAATTCAAATCTAAAAGTTTTAAGTGCAATTTTTTGCAATTTTTGGGATTTTTTCAATTTTATTGCAATTTTGTCGAATTTACTCATTTATACAACTATTTTAGCCATATTAAAACTTATATATGACTTAAAACCATTATTAAAATCAATGATATACTAACCTTTAAATTTAATGATATCTCAATTTACTTTTATAATAAATTTAAGAGGACGTCGCCGTCGTGCTTGTATTTGTTGTTTCCGTCTTACACGCTTACGATATAGACAATTTTCGTTCCACCAGTTTCAATAGTATGCTGTTAGTTTTGATATTATAGTGAATTGATCTATTATAAAACTTTAGGTAAGAAAATTATCTGTGTTCTCAAGTAGGGTTTTTACGGTATTTTAATTTTTAAGTGAGTTAAATCAGTATGTAAAATATTAATATTTTAAAATGGTCATAATTCACAAATGTACACAAAATGGATTCGGTTGAGCTCTAATTTGCTATATTGTACATTTGTACGTTTGTAAGACGGAAACTAACATGCGAGCATCACAACATAACTAAGTAATTATGTATCTATAGACGTATGATAATATAGTATGATATTATATAATATGATAAATACTAAGTACCTACATGACTAACACACTGATAATTTATTTATTTTAAAGTCGTATATGCTATATTACGATTATCAATAAATTATCAGACTATCAGATTGACTTTTTGGACCTTGGCTAATTTACTTCCGGGCTTTTTAATATTTTAGTTAATCCACGATTAATGTTGCTGTAATACTTCTATAGATATTGGATAATAGGTCCGAATGCTAAATTAAATTGGTAAAGCTATTAAGTAAGTATATACTATATACCGTGTACAATACATTACAAAAACGTAAACTTTATTTTAAGAGCTCTTACAATTTTCAAGACGTACCTATTCCTAACTAATTTATTATGTATAGGTTCGCTTATACTTCAGGGGTGGCAAAACTTTTTTAAATAAAATTAAGATCCGCATGGTAATGTATTTTTCCTTTGATAATCAACTCTGGTAAAATAATTATTTTTTATTTTTAAATCTTTATAACTTATACAAAATATTAATAATGACCACATTTTATAAAAATAATCAAATAAAAATGTAAAGTTATATTATAACAATGAGTGTCTTACATTAAATTTCTAAATAATTTCAAAATAAATTACCTAACATTATAGGTTCTTCTGGCGTAGAAGCGTGTCATTTCATATCGTTAGCCAGTTGATTTTGATCTGGGTAATTATAGTCGCCGGCTGCCAAACTGCTGACGCAGCTTTAAATGATTATCAAAATGTGTAGCACCGACTATTGCTCCGTATTCAGATTTTATGACTTCCATGTGAGAAAATATAATTTCACATGAACAGGTTAATCTGTATATCTAGTATCTATTAGAAGCTATGTAGGTAGGTATAATTATAAGTTCTGACAAAATAAATCATCTTTTAAACCATCTGAGATCAACCATTTGGCCACCTCTGGTAGTCTGATGACTGGTTATAGTAAACCATATTACAATATATTTTTATAATACAATTATGGTTTTTTATAAACCGCCGATCTCCGCCTATGAGCATATAACTATTGACAACTTTTTCATCGTTTTAATTTAAAATGCAAAGTTAATAAATGTGAGACGATATTTCTCAACAATAGCCTGTAGGTGATTGACCAGTGACCACTATACCGTGATGACATAATATAATATGTTTAAGTCCAGTGGCGTATTTTGGGTTTTTTTTTGGGGGGTGTCCTGACTCCTGATCTCCACAGTTATTTAATGACAAATATTAACATAGTTTCATCACTAATTCATACCTGATTATAATACATCTTAATACCTTATATAAGTGGACATTTTTTTGTAAAAAAATTATAGGATTTCTACTTACATTTTTAATTATAATACAATTATGACAGGAATAAAGTATAAACAATTTTACTGAATAAAATAAAACCAATCTAACACTTAAATTTACTGAGTATTTTTTCGTATGAGTTTAATTTATTTTGTATACTTATATAATATTATAGATACATTAAAAGAAAAAAAACACTAAAATTTCAAAACTTTAACCTCACAGTATTAAAGGTAGACGTCTTTTTTTTACAGCCAATTCGTCCAATACTTGCTTACTTTCAATGCGATCCTTCCGATTGATTGATAACATGGCTAATCCATTTAGCCTTTTCTAAATAAAACAATTATTTATTTATTTAATTTTATAATTATGATTTAGACTTAGTCAAAAAAAAAATAAACTTACTTGGCCCATAGTATTACGTAAATAAGTCTTTATCTTTTTAAGTGATGAAAATGATCTTTCGTTCTGTGCAGTTGAAACTGGGAGTGTCGCAAAAATTGTTAACAATTTAAATATATTTGGGTATATTTCTGGATTACATACAGACAAAGCTTCCATTGCGTTTCTATAGTTAGAAGTTTCTAAATTTCTCAGTCGTCTTTGCCACAAATTATACTCCGATAATAATACTGTCTTGGAGGACGAAGAAAGATCTTCCATGTATGTTTCAGTTAATGACAAAAAATTGTTTTCATCCGTATTAAGACTTATGAGTGAATTAAAATTAACTAAAATAGCTTTATGGCTGGTAAATCGAACTTTCAATTGCTCAATAAATGTTTCAATATAAGGTATAAATATAGCGATTCTATAATATACTTCAATTGAATCAGTTTCAACATTTACACGGTTTGCTTGTCTTTTCGTAGTTCTAGGGATACTTATAGTAATACCAAATTTATTACCAAGAGAAACAGCATTTTCAAAAATGTCTTGGAAAATAGAATCAGCATTTTTTCGAAAATCTTCAAGTTCTTTTATTGTATCCTCCGCTAATTGGATCGCTTCGCCAAGGTCAATATTAACCCGCTGAAGATGTTTCGATAAAGGAAGACCAACACTAAAGCATTTAGCTACTATAAGCATAGAAATAATAAATCCCCCTTCTAATATAGCACTACACAGATTACTGGCATGCGAAGAAGTCTCAACATCTTTCCACTCAGATATAAAGTTTAATGATTTTATCACTTGTTCAAATAACTCTTCAAAATCATTCACTGCATGGTAACGTTCAATCCATCGGGTAGCGCAAAGACGTTTTAATGATTTTTTTGAGATTTTTTCATCACTATTTTCAATTTGAGTTTTTAAAACATCTTTTCTTTTAGGAAAATTGAAAAAATCCCGAGCTTTAGAAATGGTCCCCAAACAATTTCTTATTTCCTGTACTTTGCAGGAGTTTGAAACAGCTAAGTTAAGGACATGTGCGGAACAATGCACATAAAGAGCAAGAGGATGAGTCTTACGAATTATGGCTTGAACGCCGTTAAATTCTCCTGACATTGCTGCCGCGCCGTCATAACCTTGTCCTCGCATGTACTTTGTTTCTATACCAAAATTGTGCAAGCTTTCTAATATTAATGATGCTAAACCTTTTCCGGTCGTATCAAACGTAGGTATAAATTGAATAAACTCTTCTTTTAATATCATATTTTTTTTATCGAGGTATCTTGCACACAATGCTACTTGTTCGATGTTCGCAATGTCAGCTGTTTCATCGGCGAGTATTGAAAAACATTGAGCAGAGTTCACTCTACTCACAATTCGTTTCAATAAAATTTGGTTACACGATTCGATGATTTCGTTTTGAATCGTCGCACTTGTGTATTTTAAATGTCCATTACTTTCTAAAAATAATTTAAGCTGCTCATCACCTCGAGCCCTATACCGTAAAATTTCCCGAAAATTCCCTTCATTGTTTTCATATTCGTCATCAGTTTGGTCGATCATTAATTTACCGGAATCTCTGTGTCCTCTAATTGCTATATTCTGCCTGCCACATAAAATGATTGCTTCGATTATCGGAGTTAAAAGTTCGCGATTTTTCATTATTTGATTCTTTCTACTGGAGTCTAGTTTTACTGATATGTCTTCATTAATATTTTTTTGTACTTTAAGAAAATGTTCAGAATCGGATAAACAGGTTTTGTGATAATTTGTTTCACTATGGTTTTGAAATCCTTCCAGTGCTTTCCTCCAGTTATCAAATTTAGTCACTACAAAAGAATTTGGCTTTTTTGAGTTATATCCAACACCAGACTTAACGAATGCTACACAAAATTTACAAAAAGCGCCGCATTCTTTTTCGGAATAACATAGCCATGGATACTTCAGAAGCCACGAATATTGAAACTTTAAATTTATTTGCTTGTTTTTTTTCATATACATTTTTATTGGAAATTTGTAGTTGATATCTGGCACCCATAGATTATTTATAATATCAGATATTTCATTTTGTGATAATGTACGGTTTATATAAAATCCTATATCATATACATTCATAAAATTAGTAGAATCAGCAACAATAGATTTTGAGACGAGATCTGATATTGGGGTTGAATCATCTGTATTTTTAATTGAAGAAATCATAGAAGAATGTGCTCGCTTTTTGGAGGGGGATGATAATGAACGTGACGTATCTTCTAATTCAGACGTAATACATGAGGAAATGTCCTGCTTAGAATCGGGTTGACTACGAAAGTTCGATATTTTCATAAAATACGAAATAGAAGTTTGTTTCTTTTGTGCCATTTTCACTGTTTTAAAAGTACAATAACATAATTAAATACTCTTTAATTTTATATTAAATTAATTAATTTAACTATTGTTTTTACATATTAGGTATAGTTCATAGTTTCGTACGAGTCCTTAAAGGCTTAAAAGCTATAAAAATAAATTACAATAATGTTGTACTTACGTAAATTTGATGTATTTACGACGTCAACAGTTGGCAGCAGTTCAGCAAAAAATAATATTGTTGTACTTCGAAGTTCGAGTGTACAACTGTCAACTGACAACTGTACATAGTACACTTTATATCGTTGGTCTTTTGCTATCGTAGATAATAATAATTGTTGTATTTGAAGAAAGATAATAAGGCGATAGCCAATAATACGGCTAGCCGAAACGATAATACAATTCTAAGAATTACATAGTTCACAATATTCTGCTATTTCGCCACTGCCTGCACGGCTGCACCTAGAGAGCTATTTATATATATATACACGCAATATATATAATCAATGCTAATACCTATTGACTATTATCTGGTATAAGATGAAAATATAAAATATACATTATTCAATTTTCATTTTTCAAAGCAGTTTTAAAATATTTCGTTATTCGTATTTTGTGATACTTCAGTAATGAATATAACTAAGAAAAAAATTGGGGGGGGTTTTAACCCCCAGGACACCCCCCCTAAATACGCCACTGTGTTTAACAATAATAATTTAATAATTACTTAGATACTGATTGTCCAAGATTACCAACCGACGAGGCAATTACTATTCCTCTGACTGCCCATCATTCGGAACTGTCTCAAATGATATTGGATTTAAGAATGTCAAACGCGTTTTCATGGAAATCAGCAGTTTTAATGCATGACAATTCTATTGGTAATCTTCTTTAACTATTGACACTTATTGGAATAAGAACCTAAAATGTACTTTACATCAATTCAACATTACATTTTGAAATTATTAAATTTTAATCATTTGGTGGTATAATTGTATTTCAGGTGATAGCGTTTTACAACACATTGTCACCTCGTTGACAAAGTACTATCCAAGTAATATTTTATCACCATCTATAACTATTTTTGAAATTTATACGCAAGGATCTGAGTGGAAGAGGTATTAACAATTTATTCTTTAATAATATTGACTGACAAACTCCACTCAGCTCATTACATGTTTTTATTTTATATTTTGATATACTATAGATTTTAGATATCCCTTTACAGTTTACAGTAATACAGTATACAGTATTATAGTCTTTATTAGGTACCTACTATAATAATATACTATAGTATTATAATTTAAAGTAATATATTAAATTAAGATCTCAAATTGGACACATAATAATTGAATACTATATTAATTTAAAATATAAACGTAATTCAAACAATAGCTAATAAGAGATAACACATGTCAGGCGTGTTCAATGTGGTAGTAGGTATCACTGTATCAGGACGTACCTAATACCTATAGGCAGATAGGCTATAGTAATTTTAGATTCCAATATACCTACTGTGTCTACTCAGTAGACTCTACTGTAGTAGGTACCTACTTTACAATATAAATATCGTGATTCATAGATCTCTCAAAGTAGTCGTAGTGTACGATTTTAGTGTCAGGTTTTTATTTTATTAATTTAATTTATTTTGAAACGTGTTTCTTACTTTTAATAAATTATACCCATATAGGTACGTGTTCAATAATAATATATAATTTTTAATTTACCTTAATAATGGGGATGATATAAAAACTGATGCAGTGGGTATTTGGTAAAAAGTAAATACAAGCTGAAAAGTATTGTAGGTAGTTACTATAGTTGATAATAGAACATCTAACTCAATGTTAAGGGATTTCATGTTAAATAACTGGTGTAGCTGGTATTATAAAACCTAAATACTTATTTTAACACATTGAAACGTTTATTCAGTGATGTTAAAGACAAGTGTAAGTGTAAAACAAGTTTAATTTTAAAATAAATAAATCAATTGATATTAAACAAATCAATATACCTAACAAAAACAAATTATTCTTTAATTTTTTTTTTATCGATTTGATCTACGCCTTACATGGTTCACACAAATAATTATTCTTTATCATATATTTTGAAGGAGAAAATTATTTATGGAGGATCTTCAACATTTTTTAAAAATGAGTGAAATAAATTCAAATTTTATTTGCATTGTTAGCATCCTTTATGTACCTTTAATCCTAGACGTGGTAAGGATTATTGTATTCAAAGAATAAAATACTGCATACTAGAGTATTAAAGTGTATATTTAATCATTTTAGGCTAAGTCATTGAATTTGATGACTGCTGAAAATAGTTGGCTAATTATTATTCCGGATATAGATTCTTCTAGAAGTAATACATCATCATTTACAAATCTGTTGAGCGAAGGAGAAAATATATCTTTTATTTACAACTCTACAAAAACAGGTTCCAAATGTATTGTAAGTTTACACTGATAATATTTTAATAAATTAAATACTAAAATAATATATTATCGTTATTTGTTAGAACTCAGAATACTAAGAACACTACAATCTAATAGAAACCTAACCTTATTCTGCATTTCGCGACCGTCGTTGTAACGCCTCTTAACTCCATTTTTTTCGAAATGAGATTTTGATACCACTGTATACCTGTTATCATTGAGCTTAATTTGTATCTATGACTAAAAATTATATTGTGTTTTTTCCCTCTGAAAAATCATTTGTAGAATTTATAGTAATAACTGTCAAGTAATTCTGTATAGAATAACTCGTATCTCGGAATATATTATTGAGTGCCTTAGTGTTGATACCTCTTATCTAAACTTATATTATCTACACTGTTTGAAATAACTCGTATCTCGTGTTTTTTTTTAAATTGTGTTGGTTGGTATAAAATGGTCTAAACTGTTAAAAATAATACAATTTACTATTTAATTAGGTATAGCTATTCTTTAAAACTAAAGTCTAACAATTAAATTTTTCTTATTGAAAACCGATTTATTTAGTCTAATGTATTTCCTGAACAATTTGAAAAAAGTGAGTTAAAAGGTGTTACAACGACGATCGCGATTTATATATATATATATACGTCATATGATATTGATATATGCCCATATTTTAATCCATTAGTACTTTCAATTCACTGACAAATCATATTTTCAATATTATTATTCTTTTACGATTTTCACCCACCTTGTGATAAACAATATGGTAACAATACGTTAATACTTAACACTTATATAATTTAAATTGTATATTTTACTGTGGAATGATGTACTTTCATACATTTAAAGGGAGGAATCTTGTGTTTGGTGGACGAATTAATGTCTGTGTTCATAATGGCCTTCAGCGCATTGATTCAACAAGAAATAGAGTTATCACAACGAGTATCGGAAGAAGAATGGGATGAAATTAGACCGTCGAAAAATGATAGGAGACAATCGATGGTATCGTTCATTAAGGTAAAATTTAACAATAAAACCAAGTAAAATTTCTAATAAACATTATTAATATTAAGCTGTTTGTTAACATATTATTATTTATACAAGTACCAATGCTAGGATGAAACAATGTCTTCGTTTAGAATCGCTTTTCATATAATTCAAATCAAATTTAACACATCCATAAAATAACATATATAGTATTACTATACAAGTATACAACTACTACCTTGTCCACCTTTTAGATTCTGAGTGAAACGATGAATGTATTGATTTTACAATGATGTGTGTTTTTTTTTTATTTTTTATTTATTTATTTTTTTTTTTTTGTGTCTGTGTACACGATAGGTAGTCGAAATAATGCTTCGATTTTCAACTTCAGTATCTTGTTCGATTGGAAAGTGAATATTGTTGGTGCATTGGGGAGGTCAAAATTTAAATTTCCCAGTAGTTTTCAAAAGCGCCGGGAAAAACAAAATAAAAATTAAGGAAAAACGGGAATTTTTACGCAAAATCGGTTTTCCAAAAAATCGATTTTGGTTTTTGGTGTAACTTTAAAACAAATAACCGTAGATACATGAAATTTTCAGTGGTTGTTTATATTTGCATTTTCTATACACGATAACATTTTCAAAATATTTTGAACTGTTTAGGGACATTTTCAGTTTCCAATTTTATTAGTTTTTTTTTTTTATGAATATCAATAAAAATTTATTTGTTGAGTAAAAATACTTGAAAATTTAATACAAGGCTCCTACTATATTGTTTCAAAGACAGATGAAAATTATTAAAAATCGTTGGTCACAGTTTTTTTTTTCAAGCATTTAAAGTTCAAAAAATGACAAAATATGGAAAAATCACGAAAATTTGCAAATTATTTCGAGTTAGAAATTCATAAAAATTTTTCTTTTTAAATCTAAGATATAAAAATGTAATACAAGATTCCTTATAAGATTTCCTACATTTATCAAAAAAAAAATTCTATAAGAAAGTCAAATTAAATTTTTATGAGCGTTTGAAATTCAAATTTTTACAACATTGGATATTCACTCGATTTCTCATGTGGCGATTTCCTTATTTTGTTGTAATTCAAAAACGAATTACTGTATATACATGAAAATTTCACTGAATGTTTATATTAGCATTTCCTATACACCATACAATTTTGAAAATATTTTGACTCTTTTTGAGCCGTTTACGGACATTTTCAGTTTTCAATTTTTTTAGTTTTTTTTTCTATAAATATTAATAAAGTTTTATCTGTTAGGCCAAAAAGTGTGAAAAATTAATACAAGGCTCCTGATATATTGTTACAATAGCAATTGAAAAATATTAAAAATACATAGGCACAATTTTTTTTTATAAGCATTTAAAGATCGCATTTTGACAAAATTTATCAAAATCTCGAAAATTATCAACCATCATAATTAATAAATTATAAAATGTTCAGTTTTTATAGCTAAAGATTGAAAATTTAAAAAAAAGATTCTCATAAATAGTTCATACTGTAGCCAAAAAATCTAAAAAATATATGAGCACAGTTATTTTTTACAGACATTTTAAGTTCAAATTTGGGACG